AATATTACGGGTGTGTCATTGGGGCTTTATGACACACTCAGCTGCTGGGGCTATATGGCGGGACTGGTCTCTCACCCTGGCGAGGGGAGTGGACACCGCGTGGAGTTGAATCCCGTACCTGAGGTTTCCCAGACGCGCAGTTGTTAACGAAAACGCATCAGCCTTTACACTATTATCACCTAGCGCGCAGGCTCAAACCTTTTAACGCTTGTTCCACTAGTCGATTCTACAAAAGAATGAATGCTCACAGGCGAACATGGGATGGTTTTGTGCGTTTTTTAAACTCATTTCGACCCACTCCATTCAAAACTAATGAGACTTCATTTCTTTCCTTGTGTTGAACTCAAGGGGCCCCTTGAGTACAACACTACGGGGGCATTGCTGTTCTCGGTCAAGAGCTGAAGGGCCATTCTGTCCCACCGCGGTGTGTCTTCCGGCCATCATTCTGGTGACACGGAGCGGCATCCACCGGCGTAACCCGGAGGCCCTTAGAGGTATACATCATATCACGGGAATATGATTTGATATGATATATCTCCCTGACGCGGGAAGCCCTCTGACCCGCGCAGTTGACCCGGGATCGACACATGAATCGACATCAGCGCAACAACATCCTTGTTCGACGCGGGTGGTCAAATAATTGGCACATAGACCCTAGTTGAGCTCAACGGGCCCATGCTGAGTTGGGTTGGATGGGCAAATCTTCCCCTGACCGATTCGAGGCCTTTTGCTGGCACATAATACCTTGTTAGGCACTGTGGGCCTCTGAACGATACAGGAGCCCCGATCAATGTAAATCACGGCCCGGCCTTATTCCTGCTTGGGAAATGGGGCCCCAGAGCTCAGACCAACACGGAACCGACTGTTCGTTGTTCGTGTTGTTGTTGTTCGACTTCCCTTGGTCGGCTCGGGGCTATTGCGAGCACAGGATCCTCTGTTAGGCGCTGTGGATCCCTGACAGATAGAAGGCCCCAGACCAGTGTAGATCACTGGCCCCGGCTCTATAGATGATTGGGAAGTGAGCCCTCAAACCCATGTCGAGCCGACAGTGCGGTACTAGTGGTACCTGACCGACATATGGGCCAATATTGACTCAGGGGGTCCCCGATCGGCACAACGGGCCCTCTGACCAATCTTTGAGGGTCCGTCTTCGCAGGCCAGGGACCCTGAATAAGACCCCGACCCAGCCCTTTATACATTTAGACCGTCCCATCGCGCCCTTGGTCGTCGGACCCCGTTGGCCCATTCGGGTCTTCGGGCCTCCTAGAACGCTCGTGTCCGGCCGAAATTTAGGCCCTTATATACTTCGGGGGCCCTTATCAGCGCACAGGGCCCTCCAGTTGGTATTGGAGTACCCGGTCCTTCGGGCCGAGCCCCTGAACGGGACCTCCAGGCAGTTTTTCGGGCTCTTCGGGTCATCAAATCGGGCCCTTAATCGTAGGCTACGAGGGGGAGGGGTACGCGCCCCCTGTGCCCCCTGCGTGCGCCAATGGGTGTGGGGAAAGCTCAATGGAAGGGCACTGGGCTCATTTTTCTTCCTGTCGAGAGCCATCTAAGGTGAAAAAGGAAAAGGCAGATCCATGATGGACGGGGGAGGGAGGCTTCCCCACTGCCTTGGTCGCACTTGTGCAGAGGCAGTGTACACCCGGACCACGGCAAGATCCGCGTCAACACAGACGGCAGTAAGGGCTATGGTGCGCGAACCGGTCAACTTTCAACATGGCGGCCAAATCTTTAGAATGTTTGGTGCTGGCTACGCTGCCGGTGGTGCGCCACAATAGCGAGAAAACAATCCCGCCCCGCTCCGCCTCTGATCGGCGTTTCACGGTGACACCAGGCACGGCTTCCGTTCCTTTTGGGCCCGGTGTCACGGAATCCAATGTGCTGGCAGTGTCCAAGGTAAAAGACAGCTGACGATACACACACGCGCACACACCCACACACACCCACACCCACACCCACACACACCCACACCCACACACACACCCACACCCACACACCCACACCCACACCCACACCCACACCCACACCCACACCCACACCCACACCCATACATATACATATATATATATATATATATATATATATATATATATATATTGCTAGTTACAGCTATAACCAACTTAGCATAGCTTATCTTCTTAGATGTAGATTCATGGCCCGCATAACTCGTTTCTTTCACGTGAATACCATTGTAGAATACGGCCGATGTCCATAACATAAAATCAACATATAGATCGAAAAGTCATTGATATTCATAGATCTTACGTTTCGTTAATTCTACTGACATCTTCAGATACAAATGAATATCCAACACGCGAAAACATAACATTAACCACGGGACCTCTTGTATACCCGGTGCGGCTATCCGGTGAGTCGACTATCAATTCAATTGGTTCCGTGGCGTTATCGCATGCTCGTAATGTTGACTTGCGAGCCGCGCCAAGAGCTACGCTGGAGCCGTCTGGTAGGACGGAAGGTGATGACGTCAGTTGAATAAGTGGCCCTATGGCCGCTGGATGACGGCTTGCGGGACAACTAGCGTGACATAAAAAAACGCAAGTGGCAGATGACTGACAGCCACTTCTCCTCTGCACATTTGACTTTTAACTACCGTAACAGGATGCATTAACGACAAGCCTGTTCAATACAACGCATGTACAAGCAGTGATGATTGTGCTGCATGGTTACAATTTGTACAAGCAGTGGTGATTGTGCTGCATGGCTATAATTTCGGCCCTAATCGAGACTCCTCAAAGAGCTGCGGGGTTCTACGAGTATTTACATGCCGATTGAACAGGGATAAGTCTCTCCGTCAAACCGTTTCCAGCATGCCCAAAAGTCGTTTATCCTCTTCCTTTCGCTAGAATGTTTGCCGTCAAGGTGAGGCGAGTTAGACGTTCGCTGTGGCGCTGGTCTGTGGGAGCGAGCGGGCGGCCATTTTGCAAAGTATGGTAACCCATCTCGTCATGGATAGGGTGTTGCTGTCGATGTACGCACTATTAGGGGGGAGTGCGCAGTCCCGCGAAGTACGTTTGCGGTGACGCACGTTGGTTTGTCGGAGTAAAGTAGGGTCAATTGACACATTGCTCTTGAGCATCAATGGGGCAGCTGTAGGACTCTGGCAGTAGATCATCAGTTTGATCATGCCATTTTGTGTTGATTTTTCATGTTTGTTTTGTTCGATGGTTACACTTCATGATGAAATGGATAGCTTTCTCGTCTGTTTGGAATCCTAACATCGCGCTTTTTGTTTTTAGAAAAGTTGATGGGTATTGCCTGGCACTGATGGTTTCGCGGGTTTACATGAACATCGGTAATGTTCTACAAGAACGTGCGTCTGAAATGGAACGACGTATATGGCCCGTCTGATCCACATCTCTGAAGATAACCAACGTTAATCTGGCCGTACATCATAATCAGCAACACTTTCATAACACATTGCCTCTTTACTCTACCAATATACCCATTATTCGCTGAACATAACCACTTTGATTTTTCTCGGTTGATTTGCCCATCAATAATGGCCCAATATCCTGCATCATAACCTCGGAGTCAGGTACACTCTCCAGCTGCGGCCGCCGGAATCATCGGCACTTCAAGAAACGTCGGACTCAAACAGACGCTGGCGGCATTTTACGCCGCAACTGACCGTGGATTAGATGACTAACGTTTGCCTTGCATATAAACAAAGTCTCATTACTTGCCGGACCCTCACGCATGCTCACGTCTGCCTGAGCGCCTAGCTGCGCTTCCCGCCAGCGGTGGGGGAGAGAGGAAGGGGGGAGGTACGGAGCCCAGGTGCCAGGCATGGGCGGGGTGAACGTACCGCGCGCCGTCGCGATCACGCTCAGGGGCTAGGTCGAGTACTCTCAAGTCAGAGATCCATTCATCGTTCATCTGAAGATACTGTGAAGATTTAACCCCACTTGTAGAGCAGACTTACCAAATGGCATCCCGCATGGGTAGATGCCCGCAAACTCAATGCTTGTATTCTGCGGCCTTTCAGCAATGCAGGCAACTGTATTGTTTAAAGCCTTGTTGCCATTTACGATGTCTATAAACTACAGCGTGCGAGCCCGAGCAGGTGAAATACCCAAAGTCACAATGCAGGCTATTGCACGTGTATTGACCAGTGGCATTCACAGGACAGGCTAGCTGAATAAAAACATTCCAAACAAGCCAAGGTGATCACCAGCACAGCGATCAGCATGCGTGACACCGGCAGGGCAGGAACACAGCAGTGCAGTCTGGCCAGCAACAGGCTGCGAGGTAAACACAACATAAAACATATACTGCTTTCATCGCAAGCTGATGGAGCAAAGCATAATATAAGATATAAGCAAGCATATTCAAACACAAAATGGTCTCGATTCTAGCAGAATAACGTGTCGGCTGACTCAGCAATTCAATGGCGCCGTTCGATACCGCATCCCAGCGCAGTGCAAACGACTAACTCATGCCGATGACTCATGCCAGCGCTCCCCCGTCCGCGGCCTGTCCGTGGACGATCGCGCCGCACTCCCTGGACCATAGCAGTTATCACGTCCCCTCTGGTGTCGGGCCACCCGCCCGAGCCCGACGCTGAGGCGGGGGCCGGGCCGGCCGTGCCATCTGACGCCGGACCGGTGCCCTCGCCCCTGCCCCCTGCAGCTGGCGGCGGCCGGCGGGGCTCGGCCGACTGCCGCGCCACCGGCGTCTCGCCCGGCCACATCTCCGACGGCGGGATAGCGGCGGCCGCGGCAGCGCCAGACAGTACTGGAGCGGCGCGGGCGAGCGGGCGGCCGGCGCGCCACCAAGCGGCACATCCATGCAACAGCCAGCTGGACGGCACTCTCACCTGTGCTCGGGCGAGTCGCCGCCCACCGCGCCGCCGCCGCCATCACCGCCACCGCCACCGCCACCGCCACCGCCGCCGCCGCCGCCGCCGCTGCCGCTGCCGCTGCCGCTGCCGCCGCCGCCGCCGCCGCTGCCGCCGCTGCCACCACCGCCGCCGCCACCACCACCGCCACCACCGCCGGGCCCGCTACCCTCCTCCTCGGTGATGTCGTCGAACAGGTTGCTCTTGCGCTTCTTCTCGTGCACCTTCTGCAGGATCATGTCCGAGTCAAGCTCGGCAATGTTCATCTGGCGGTAAGCCGTCTCGAGGTTGCTCTCTACGAAGCTGTTCTTGGGCGTAAAGGGGTAGGCGCCGATGTCGTCGGCGCCCTCGAAGCCACCCAGCGGACCCCGTCGCAGCTCGATCCGCTGTAGCAGCTCGCGAGAGTTGAACGACGGCAGCGAGACGTCGGCGATCGAGTCCGAGTCGGCCACGCTGTTCTGCGGTGTGTACGGCACAGAGTTGTAGGCCGAACTTTGTGAGCTGCCACCCTATAAGAACGCCAAAAGGCTCTGTCAGACGACGGAGACCAGGGCACAGTGGGAGGTGAGGGGAGGGGAAGGGGAGAACTGCGAGAGAGGGAGAGATGGCGGACCCGAGAGGTGTGGCAGGCACAACGGCAGGGGAGGAGGAAGGGACGGAGAGGGAGGAAGGGTGTGGGCAGTAATCGTAGGAAAGATAGCGGCTGGATCCGCACCGTGCGCTGTCGCACGAGGGCTGCAGAAACACGGCCCCTGGACACCACTTACCAACAGCGGAGAGGCCTCACCCCTTAGAGGAATCATGCTAGACAAGCACAATAATAGCTCTGGAGCCACATCAAGCAATAACACCGTTAGCATAGGATTTTGTGTGCTGCCAGGTAAGTTATGGTGGCGACCAACAATTATCTAGAAATGGCCAATGCTCGTTTGTTGACAAGACGTACGTTGAAACTATTGTGAACAGTTTTCTTTTAAATATCCATTCATTTGATACATATTTAGGGCAGTGAATGAGAACATACGTTTAAAGCGCTTCAACCACAACTAGTTTCGTATGGAGACGTTCGGCATTCCTAAACCCCACAGTCGGTATGCGGCCAGGCTGCCATATCTGGTTTAAGCCGCGGCCGAGCGCAGTCGCTGATTGGTCTAGATTTCGTTCAAGATGTGTCATCAGTCACCACTGGTTGAGCATGGCCCAGGTGAAAAGAACCCCGCAAAAAGGTGAGGAGAAACTCGCTTCAGAGCAAGATGTGTCTTGTTTGGGAACGTTAACTGGAACAGAAAGCTGTCAGTACCACAAAAAGCCGCCATGCCTGCGACCTGCTGTAAATACCATGTACATGAGGCTGATGACCATATTTTTGGACACAAATAGGGAGGGACAAAGCGAATGACTAGGCGACAGACGTGCAATTCCGGGAAAGCTAACACCTCATGAGGAATGATAGCATAGACGTAAAATGGCCAAATGCCCATGAAAACATGACTGTTCTGCATATACATGCATTTCGAAGTTTACCTCTCACGGCCTCATGGTACGCTATGACCTTAAAAGGAATGCCAACATTTTAAGAAATATAGACATATAGACATATAGACATCAGGCAAACAAAGGGTCATAACGGCCCATCGAGGCTGGCCTACCCTAGGTTCCTCAACCATTATTGAACTAATCTGAACCTCACCTGCCCGAATTTAGCTATATACGAGATCCTTAGACTTAAAGAACTTGCCCAAACGGTTTTTAAATGTTGCTAAGGAGGGAATTACTACAACTTCGTTTGGCAGTCCATTCCAATGAATAACTACTCTTTGACTAAATGACACCTGCATCTTCATAGTTCTACCCCTGCCTTTGGCTAATTGAAACTGGTTTCCTCTAAGTCCCGGTCTCGTCTCCAGTGTTCCTTGTAGATCCAGCTTGTCTAATACTGAACACCTGTCACATATGATGAAATATGCTCACTTGCCACTGTTGGCTTAAGCGACACAAACTGCTCTATGCAAAGCAAATCACTACAAAGTGGAAGTTTCCTCAGTGCACCACAGTTTGAAAACGTCATGGAAGGTCTTTATGACATCAGGGTGGCTGCCCGAGTGGCCGCGTCGGACTTGCCACTGTGGCGGACGGGAAGACTCACTTGTAGTACTTGGACTTGCCGAAAGGTGGCAGTGTTTCCTGAACCCGATAATTACCATGCGCTGTTATTTTCTCGTGGGGTTCTTCTTTCCGTGGCGTTCTTACATATTTGTCGCTGATTTCATCTCATCTACTTGAACTCACATGCTCTATCCTAAGTTGTTCGACTCCCAGCCTTAGTTGCGACAAAACTCGTACCACAGCCCAAATTCCCGCATTACGTCGAACAAAACTCGATTCATGTTCGAAACTTGCAAAACACGCATTACGTTGGTTGAGAGCCAACCGTGGTCCTTTGATGCCAGAAATTGTGCTGATGTACGCGCGGAAAGGAATGCTTCAACGACTTTCTTTGTCTTGACCTTGAGAACTGCGTGGCCGATGAGGTGGCAGCATGCGTGAGACCTTTCTATGGCGTCATACATGCCTCAGTAACTGAGATAGTCCGTACAACTTCAGAAACAGGAGAACAGAAACTGAATTATTTTCAAAATAGCTGTCTCAATTGAAAATCCCCCAAAAATGCCAATCACCCCCTTTAAAGAGGGTGTATGGTGTTTTGAACAAAACCAATCATCTTTAAGGTCATTCAGTGTAGTACAATCATGCCTTTTTAGACCTAAGTCCCTCTAGCTTCTGAGCAGCTCGCCCGCCACGGCGTAGACTATTTCGGAGCTTTCAAGACCTAATCATGTGGACACTGGTCCATTACAGGGGGCCCTGTCATGCTGGTCCGCCCTGCCTAGCTTCTGAGCTACACGCCTGCGGGGGTGTAACTATTACGGAGACTATTTCAAGGTCATCCAGGCATCCATGGCACAAAAATCATGTCATTAAAATCGTGTTCCTCCATTAGCTCTGCCGCAATCGAGGACAAGAAAATATAAATGTCGAGTCGTTCAGATATGGCACTCGTAAACACGATTTCCAGATATAACGGTCGACCATTAGCTCTCTCAATCAATGCTGTGCAAGGCACGATGACGTAATCTAGCCGTGACGTATTGACGAGCACGATAACTAAACCGAGAAGCTGTTCTGTGTAGAGCAGTCGTTTCCATTTGAAAATATACCGATAGGTACAAGTGAGCTTATTTCATCATGTTCGATGCTCGCTTCAGCATCTTTAAATTTGAGTATTCACCTTAATGGCGACCACGTCAACAAAAACAGGAGAGCGCCCGCACCAATGCGAATGGAGGGCGAGACCACACCCGACCAAACCACCAGCATCTCGTCCCATTCCAGCGCTGTTGGGCTATTGATTCCTGTCCGCAGGCATGACGTCAGTCGGTGTTCCGCGCGAACCTACAAGCGCTCTTTGCGCCACTTCAGTACCAGTGTCCTGAAGCCGCCACCACGTGCGGGGCGTGCAGGGGGGGGGGGGGGGAGGGGAAGCGCGTGTCCAAGCGAGGGACGGAGCACGCGAGCGTCGGCCCGCCCGAAGCGCCCCGGTCGAGGTAGGCCGCGCAGCCAGCCGCAGGCCGAGTGTTCCTCCCGCCCCGATCGGCGCACACGGGCTGCGGCGCTCCGGACGGCGCAGCCAGCCGCAGGCCGAGTGCACCTCCCGCCCCGATCGGCGCACACGGGCTGCGGCGCTCCGGACGGCGCAGCCAGCCGCAGGCCGAGTGCTCCCCCCGCCCCGATCGGCGCACACGGGCTGCGGCGCTCCGGACGGCGCGACCAGACGCTGGTGGTCAAGTGGGGTTCCAGAGGCGCTGCCACGTCATGGACTTGGGGCACGAGCCCGGTAGCCAGTCCAACGCGGCCAGACCGATGGAGGATCAATGGGCACATCCTCCTTGAGTCGGTACGCGGGATCATGTGGACACTGGTCCATTACAGGGGACCCTGTCATGCTGGTCCGCCCTGCCATGTCATACAGCGGAGTAATGTAGACGCCGGAGGAGCAGGCGGCATTCTTATCGTACTAGCTTGCCCCACCAAAAATGATGAGCGGGCTAACGCTGACACCGGCCTGTTGTGAGGGTTCACACCATCCTGGTCGGCCCGACCACACCTCTGAGCGGAGGGTGACGCGGACACCGGCAGACCACACCTCTGAGCGGAGGGTGACGCGGACACCGGCAGACCACACCTCTATGCGGAGGGTGACGCGGACACTGGCAGACCACACCTCAGAGCGGAGGGTGACGCGGACACTGGCAGACCACACCCCAGAGCGGAAGGTGACGCGGACACCGGCAGACCACACCTCTAAGCGGAGGGTGACGCGGACACTGGCAGACCACACCTCTGAGCGGAGGGTGACGCGGACACCGGCAGACCACACCTCTGAGCGGAGGGTGACGCGGACACCGGCAGACCGCCCGGCACTCCTACCGTGCTGGTGGGCTCCAGCAGAGTGACAGCCTGGGCGCAGAGGCTGAGGTCGATCCCGTTCGGAGGCCGGACGTCGGCCGGCAGCTCTGAGCGCAGTCCGCTGTAGGTGACGGGCGGCGGCGGCGGCGCTCGGCCAGCCGGCCGACCCACCGGCGACAGGTCACCGGAACCGCCTGAGGCAGCACAGGGTCACGGACCACCGTCAATAGCCTGCGATAGGTCAACAGAACGGCCCTGACGCAGCACAGGGTCACGGACCACCGTCAGTAGCCGGCGACAGGTCAGCAAAATCGCCCGAGTCAGCACAGGGTCACGGACCACCACCAGCGGCCGGCGATAGGTCAGCAGAGCCGCCTGAGGCAGCGCAGGGTCACGGACCACCGGCAGCAGTCCGGACAAGTCGTGTTAGCCGCGTGCGGCAGGACAGCGTGCCGTGTCACCCTCAGCCTCCGAGCGGACACACTGCAGGGGCCAGGGAACTGATGCAACTGGGGGGCATGCGGTACAGTGACCACATAAACACATCAGGTGACGACGGGAGGCGCGGAACTGTTGCAAGCCAAACTTTCCCGGCGCGCGGTCAACGGATCATCTCGTCGCCAGGCGTCTGCGCGGGTATAGCCATCCAAAACGATTGCGCACGCAAATGGGATCGAACGGCCCGTGTGGAGACCCCGGGTACCGGACGACTCCAGCGCCGGGCCCTGCCCGATCAGCTTGTGCCCCTGCCAAACAAGCAAGCCCACTCCCAGGCGCACGCCGATGAGTAAATTTGTGCGCTGCCTCGTCCCGTGCCGCGCCGCATCGCTGCAGCAGTCGCGTGGCTGCCGGCGGACTGCCGGACGCCGGCGCACAGCCAGAGATCCTGCCGCCAGGGCGCTCGTCATCCGCAGGAGCGGTGACGTGCCAAGGACACGGCAGCCGGCCCGGCGCCGCGCCGGCTCTCTCCCTCACGGGCACGAGCGAGAGCGCCGGCCGCCGGCGCAGCTCCGCCGTGCTGGCGACACTCGCGCCCCGGCGGTGCGCGCACGCTCGTCACTCTCGGCCGGCGGCGGCCACAGCCCAGATCGGCGCCGATCACCACCGGCGGCCCGGCCCGCCGCCTGCTGCGGCAGGCGCCGCCATTTGTGTAAAGCGGGGCACGCGACCGGCGCGTCTGCCGCGGCGGCGCACTCTGCAGTGCACGTGACGAGCGCCGGGCGCGGCCGCGGCTGCTGCCGATACCGGCCGGCGTCGGGAGGCGAGATGCGTCGACAGCGGCGCATTGGGTGTCCGTCTGACAGACGTGGATCAATGGCATGTCACACGGCCGACCCGCCGCAGGCTCTGTAGGGCTCATCCCGCCTGGCC